TAGTTTCTCGCAAGTATTATGGTGCAAATAAAAGGAACTCTTAATTTGCAACTCTTGACTTTTGGAAATATCTTGAAACCAGTTTATTTTCAATTTAAAAGCGCGTTTTGTCGGATATTCCTATTATTCGTGATATCTATCATCTGTGTGAGCATCGATAATTTTTTATATAAAAATCTAATCTTTCCAATACATGACTTTTCTATCTAGTTATTATAGGCTTTTTCCGGTTATTTTGTACAACCTATATTGCAGCATCTCTATAAATGTTTAGAGGATAAACTAAATATATACATTGTCCACATACATCTACCTCAAAACATTTTTCTATAAATATTCATTGAAAACGAAAATACTGAAAAATTTAAATTTCCTACAATATTTTCACGCAAACAACTTTTAGTTCAAAAAATTTCATAAAAAACAGAATTTTGCACATTTTGTCAAATTTCTCGAATACGGACCATTCAGAAAATTTTGACAAAAAGCAGAAATTATAGATAATAATATTGGAAGTAACTTTTATTTAAACAATTTTTTTCTCCAAACATAAATAACAGATATAAAATATAAAAACGACCTCCTATAAAGTACCCACCCCCCCCCCCCCAGATGCTCCGACTTTGTCCAAAATCTAATTATTTCACGTCAGGCCGAAATAAAACTTTGAGTTTTCTTCAAATTTCAAAATTTACAATTTTCTAAAATATCTCGAATACGGTCCATTTTAGAGAAATTATGTATCGGATAAAAATTATAGAGAATTATATTACAAACAACTTTTATTTGTGCGTGTGCGTGTGTTTGTGTGCGTGTGCGTGTGCGAGTGCGCGTGCATGTGCGTGTGCGTGTGCGTGGTGCGTGTGCGTGAGCGTGTGCGTGTGCGTGTGCGTGTGCGTGTGCGTGTGCGTGTGCGTGTGCGTGTGCGTGTGCGTGTGCGTGTGCGTGTGTGTGTGTGTGTGTGTGTGTGTGTGTGTGTGTGTGTGTGTATGTGTGTGTGTGTAACAAAAATTAATAAAAATTAATAAAAATTAATAAAAATTAATAAAAATTAATAAAAATTAAAAAATAATAAAATTAATAAAAATTAATAAAAATTAATAAAAATTAATAAAAATTAATAAAAATTAATAAAAATTAATAAAAAATTAATAAAAATTAATAAAAATTATTACAAATTATAAAAATTAATAAAAATTAATAAAAATTAATAAAAATTAATAAAAATTAATAAAATTAATAAAATTAATAAAAATTAATAAAAATTAATAAAAATTAATAAAAATTAATAAAAATTAATAAAAATTAATAAAAATTAATAAAAAATTAATAAAAATTAATAAAAATTAATAAAAATTAATAAAAATTAATAAAAATTAATAAAAATTAATAAAAATTAATAAAAATTAATAAAAATTAATAAAAATTAATAAAAATTAATAAAAATTAATAAAAATTAATAAAAATTAATAAAAATTAATAAAAATTAATAAAAATTAATAAAAATTAATAAAAATTAATAAAAATTAATAAAAATTAATAAAAATTAATAAAAATTAATAAAAATTAATAAAAATTAATAAAAATTAATAAAAATTAATAAAAATTAATAAAAATTAATAAAAATTAATAAAAATTAATAAAAATTAATAAAAATTAATAAAAATTAATAAAAATTAATAAAAATTAATAAAAATTAATAAAAATTAATAAAAATTAATAAAAATTAATAAAAATTAATAAAAAATTAATAAAAATTAATAAAAATTAATAAAAATTAATAAAAATTAATAAAAATTAATAAAAATTAATAAAAATTAATAAAAATTAATAAAAATTAATAAAAATTAATAAAAATTAATAAAAAATTAAATAAAAAAATTAATAAAAATTAATAAAAATTAATAAAAATTAATAAAAATTAATAAAAATTAATAAAAATTAATAAAAAATTAATAAAAATTAATAAAAATTAATAAAAATTAATAAAAATTAATAAAAATTAATAAAAATTAATAAAAATTAATAAAAATTAATAAAAATTAATAAAAATTAAAAATTAATAAAAATTAATAAAAATTAATAAAAAATTAATAAAAATTAATAAAAATTAATAAAAATTAATAATTAATAAAAATTAATAAAAATTAATAAAAATTAATAAAAATTATTTAAAATTAATAAAAATTAATAAAAATTATTAAAAATTAATAAAAATTAATAAAAATTAATAAAAATTAATAAAAATTAATAAAAATTATTAAAAATTAATAAAAATTAATAAAAATTAATAAAAATTAATAAAAATTAATAAAAATTAATAAAAATTAATAAAAATTAATAAAAATTAATAAAAATTAATAAAAATTAATAAAAATTAATAAAATTAATAAAAATTAATAAAAATTAATAAAAATTAATAAAAATTAATAAAAATTAATAAAAATTAATAAAAATTAATAAAAATTAATAAAAAATTAATAAAAATTAATAAAAATTAATAAAAATTAATAAAAATTAATAAAAATAATAATAATTAATAAAAATTAATAAAAATTAATAAACAATTAATAAAAATTATTTAAAATTAATAAAAATTAATAAAAATTAATAAAAATTAATAAAAATTAATAAAAATTAATAAAAATTAATAAAAATTAATAAAAATTAATAAAAATTAATAAAAATTAATAAAAATTAATAAAAATTAATAAAAATTAATAAAAATTAATAAAAATTAATAAAAATTAATAAAAATTAATAAAAATTAATAAAAATTAATAAAAATTTATAAAAATTAATAAAAATTAATAAAAATTAATAAAAAATTAATAAAAATTAATAAAAATTAATAAAAATTATAAAATTAATAAAAATTAATAAAAATTAATAAAAATTAATAAAAATTAATAAAAATTAATAAAAATTAATAAAAATTAATAAAAATTAATAAAAAATTAATAAAAATTAATAAAAATTAATAAAAATTAATAAAAATTAATAAAAATTAATAAAAATTAATAAAAATTAATAAAAATTAATAAAAATTAATAAAAATTAATAAAAATTAATAAAAATTAATAAAATTAATAAAAATTAATAAAAATTAATAAAAATTAATAAAAATTAATAAAAATTAATAAAAATTAATAAAAATTAATAAAAATTAATAAAAATTAATAAAAATTATAAAATTAATAAAAATTAATAAAAATTAATAAAAAATTAATAAAAATTAATAAAAATTAATAAAAATTAATAAAAATTAATAAAAATTAATAAAAATTAATAAAAATTAATAAAAATTAATAAAAATTAATAAAAATTAATAAAAATTAATAAAAATTAATAAAAATTAATAAAAATTAATAAAAATTAATAAAAAATTAATAAAAATTAATAAAAATTAATAAAAATTAATAAAAATTAATAAAAATTAATAAAAATTAATAAAAATTAATAAAAATTAATAAAAATTCATTAAAAATTAATAAAAATTAATAAAAATTAATAAAAAATTATTAAAAATTAATAAAAATTAATAAAAATTAATAAAAATTAATAAAAATTAATAAAAATTAATTAAAATTAAGAAAATTTAATGAAAATTGATAAAACTTAATAAAAAAAAATTCCAGGTATAGCATGAAAAAATTTCTCTCGAGAAACGAAAACTTCAGATTTGAGAAATTCAAGCGTAGCGGGATCGGGTTACCTAGTATGATATATATGTTATGTATAGTTCAATTACCATTGACAGCTGTTTCTTGATTTATTTGTTGGTATTTTAGCATTTTAAAGTGTTCTAGTTATTCAATTTCAAGTTCAAAATGACACAATGTATCAAATATAAAAGCGGCCTCTCATAAAGTTACCCCCCCCCCCAGATGTTCCGACTTTGTCCAAAATCTAATCATTTTACATCAGGCCGAAATAAAACTTAGGTTTAAAATTTAATGTTTTTTCCTTTATCCGTTTTTGAGTTTTCTTCAAAATTCGAAATTTACATATTTTCTCAAATATCTGGAATACGGTCCTTTTTCGAGAAATTATGTATGAGATAAAAATTATAGATAATTATATTACAAACAACTTTTATTTGAACAATTATTATAAAAAATTATTTTTTTTACATTTTGTTAAATTTCTCGAATACGGACCATTTTAGGAAAATTTTGTATAACACAAAATATTGATAATATTGTTAGTAACTTTTATTTGAAGAATTTTCTTCTCCAAACGTAAATAACAGATATATTCTATAAAATATAAAAATGACCACCCATAAAGTACCCCCCCCCCAGATGTTCCGACTCTGTCCAAAATCTAATCAGTTCATTAGACGCCAGAATAAAGCTTAAGTTTAATTACTATATAGTGCAAGAGAGAGGTCCGACACGTCCAACATAGGGCGCGGCCATTTTGATTCCTATGCCACAGTTTATAGCTAAAGAATCAGATCGTTTACTCTGCGTCGGCACTTTTGATCTCAATGTTCCAGTTTATACACTGCGCAACTCGGATAATACAATATATGACAAAATTCATACTCCTATAAAAATTATTAATAAAGTTAAAATTTTTCCGCCTATAATAAAACAGCAGTCTGCGTATCCTGAATTTGTATCCCTGGAATGGATGTTATTTTGGAACTTTCAACTGGTCCGAGTGAGCTAACTGATTCTTTAGCAATAAACTGTGACTCCAAAAATAATCACTGACACTGACAGCAGCAAGCAAAATATCAGGTGCGATTTAATCATCCGCTTCTGCTTCCGGAATTGTCGGTTTAGTCGTTTTAACCTGTCAGATTAAAACAAGAAAACCGACAATTCCGAAGCAGAAGCGGATGATTAAAACGCACCTATTAAAAATATTGCGCCAAGATGTAGGCAACACGTAATAAGGGATTAAAATGGCGGAGTTTTCTATCTTCTTTTAAAAGGAACTTAGAAAGCTCCGCAGTGCGACCATTCTCCGTATAGTAAGAGAAAATCAAAGTATGTGTTATTTTAAAACACCGGGGAAAATAGCCTTTTCCTATCTTTTCTATCCATATCTGTGGTTATTCTGCCAAGTTACCCTACCAAATTTTAGCCAGAGGTGAAAAAATCGGAACTAGGAAACATTAATTCTTCTTCTTTTCAATAAAAGGTTCTTAATAGAGGTTATGTCGACAATTTAATACATTTTAATTATTTTCTGTCAAATTTGTCAAATTATGAAAAATTCATGTAGCCGAAAAATATTTAAAAAGGTATTCCAAGCCATTTCAAAAATCTTATCGATTTTAAAAATATCCTTTGTTTTCTAAAAAATAGGTAAATTAATGAGTGAAGGTGGCGAAGGTGGTGAAGATATCAAAATAAAAACTGTTCCCCAAGATGCCAGGTATCCTAATCAGAACTGCACAAATTGGTGTATGGATGCCTTCATTGATTACCAAAAATGCAAAAGACTACTAGGAGAGGAGTAAGTAATGTAAACGGTTAGATTTTTTCTACAATTTTTCGGTTCTATTGGTATAAATAATTCTCAAATACAAAGAATGATAACATTAGATATACATTGCTTATTATAGTATAAGAGTTGTCGCGTTTTCATGAATTTTACGTCGTAATCTGAATTAAAAAATAATTATTTACGTCTTCATTATTTTAAGATAGATTGATTCTTGACTTTTGTCATCAAATTCAGAAGTTAAGTATTTTGTATACTTCTGTGAAAATTTGGAAACATATTTTGTATACAATACATGTAAAAACAATAAAGGGTTTTTTAGGCATTCCGCCATACACTGAAATACACTTCCCCAATAAATTAACGCACCATCAAAAAATAACAAAAAGTTTAAAGTAAATATTTTTCAAAACCACTTGTCTGATGTGGACGGTTTTTTTTTAAATAACGGGTTGTCTCTTCTACAACGTCGGTGTGCTAACTATGTTTGTATAAAACCCTCTTTTTAATTAATACAGGGTGTATCAATTATAGCGTGATTTTTTCATAAAAGTTGTAACACTCTGTAGAGTGCAACAGTTACATTACCAAGTTCGCATTGATATCACAATTTAGCCTTATCTTCTCTTAACAATTTTTTTTTATTTACTCCATTATGTTTCCTATTACACGAGAAACTCAATTTTATAACTAAACATGACTTTATTAATTTTCATTAGCATTATAAGCATTAAAGTAAGTAGCATGCTATGAAAAAACCAGTAACTGTCAAATACAGATGCGTATTGTCAGTATTAGTCATTTGCCATTTTTTGCAAAAAAAATTATTAAACAATATGCCACGAAATCTTACTCGCGAAGAATGTGCTCAAGCTCTAATATTGTTTAAAGATGGTTGGAGTTACCGAAGAATTGGTAAACGATTTGACGTAACCCGCACAACCGTTTCACGAAATGTAGTACAAAGATATAGAGAGACTGGAAATCATGGTCGTAGGCCGGGACGCATTATTATAAGTAACCGACAATCCGTGCATTCGCAAATTTCCGAGGCCACCTGATTGATGTGATATTAAGAAACCGACGAGTCAGATTTACTTGTCGGCTACATTCTACATTATGCAATACAAAAAGATAACAGATAACGCTTACAAATTTTAGATTTATTCGAAGGAAGACGTTGAGGCACAGTTTATTGCTAAAGAATCAGTTAGCTCACTTGGACCAGTTGAATGTTCCAAAATAATATCCACTCTAGGGATACAAATTCAGGATGCGCAGAAGATTGTTGTTTGAATAGAGGCGGTTGTCATATTGTATTGGTTATGATTTGATTCTGTATGCGCCAGGGATACAAATCCGAGTTGCGCAGTGTATAAACTGGAACATTGAGATCAGAAGTGCCGACGCAGAGTGAGCGAACTGATTCTTTAGCTATAAACTGTGGTTGAGGTAAATTTAAAAACATTTTTTTCTTGTTTTACATCATAGGACAGTAGGCTTTTAAAAAGCATTGTTGTAAATTTAGAATTAATGAGTATACAGTGTATACAGTATACAGTGTTATTACTGTGTTGTAAAGTGTTTTTGCATGATAATATGTATCTTTAGAGTTGATTGTACACAATATAGTCCATATTATAAACTATTTACAATTTGACGGTTTTCCATCTCATTTTTATTAGGTTTGACCAGTATGAGCTGACTAATTCTTTGAATACCTGTGTTTTAAAAGGCCAATCAATAGAAGATAAAAAGCAGAAGAAGTAACTCAAGAAGAAACAAATGAAAAATTTTACTTTGACTGCAATATACTACTAATATAGGCATTGGTATTATTCATTGTATTTTTATTACGTTATTAAGCAAGACTGGTCATCCCTATGTGACCGATGAGTCAGGCTAAATCATCGGTTACTAAATACCATTTTGATAGCTCACCAAATACCTATATGTACCCGACAAATAAGCCCGACTCGTCGGTTACTTAATATCACATTAATCGGGTCATTGCGAATGCGGCCGGCATAAGGAAGAAACCGAGTAACTACTCCGATTCAGGGTCGATTTTTAAGACTGTCAGCATTAAGACGTTTTGTAACAGCTCGACCCCTTCAAACCCAGCTTCGGGATGCTAATCGTTTAGAAGTTTGTACAGAAACTGTTCTTCAGCGACTAAGGGAACATAATTTGAGGCTTAGAATAGCTGCTCGAGGTCTAGTTTTAACCAGAGTTCATCGCAGAGCAACGCTAAATTTTGCCATAGAGCATCGTTATTGGTTAGAGGCTGAATGGCAACAGGTATTATTTACTGATTAGTCTCGATTTTGTCTGTATAACAATGATAGGTGTATGCGCGTATACCGGCGCCATAATGAACGGTATGCTCAGTGTAATTTCTCACATACAAAATTATTTGGAGGAGGATCCCTGATGGTCTGGGGAGGCATTTCTTTGACTGGTCGCACATAACTTGTAATCCTAAATGGAAGCCTTACAGCTAACAAGTACATATTGGAGATTTTAGACGAACATGTATTTCCATTTGCACCATATATAGGGCAAATATTTTTGTTGATATAAGATAATGTCAGGCCTCATGTTGCTCGAGTTGTGAAAAATGATCTAGAGGAAGTCGGTATCGCTACCGTGGTATGGCCAGCTCGGAGCCCGGATTTAAATTCGATGGAAAATCTTTGGGATACTCGTGGGAGGAAATTACAAGAGGAACGTAATCTGAACTCTCTAGAAGATATACGGCAGAGACTGATTTAAATATGGGAAGAATTGGACCAAAATTACATAAGGTCTCTTAAGTATGGGCCACCGTTGTCAAGAAGTTATTCGTGCCAGAGGCGGAAATATTCACTAATGACACATTTGTCTAACTTATTTCGTTACAGTTTGTTTCGTGTTTTCATTGTTAAACTTTGATATTAATTTTTAATAAAATCATGTTATGTTAAAAAATAGTGTTTTTCGTATAATGACAAAGATAATGAGGTAAATAAAAAAAAAATTGTTAATTGGGATCAATTCTAACTTGGTAATGTAACTGTTGCACTCAACAGGGTGTAACAACTTTTATGAAAATATCACGCTATAATTGATACACCCTGTATTAATAAAAAAGAGGGTTTTATACAAACACAGTTAGCACAACGACATTCTGGAAGAGACAACCTGTCATTTAAAAAAAATCTTCCAGCAATAAACTGTGCCTCAACGTCTTCCTTCGAATAAATCTAAAATTTGTAAGCGTTATCTGTTATCTTTTTGTATTGCATAATGTAGAATGTAGCCGACAAGTAAATCTGACTCGTCGGTTTCTTAATATCACATCAATCAGGTGGCCTCGGAAATTTGCGAATGCACGGATTGTCGGTTACTTATAATAATGCGTCCCGGCCTACGACCATGATTTCCAGTCTCTCTATATCTTTGTACTACATTTCGTGAAACGGTTGTGCGGGTTACGTCAAATCGTTTACCAATTCTTCGGTAACTCCAACCATCTTTAAACAATATTAGAGCTTGAGCACATTCTTCGCGAGTAAGATTTCGTGGCATATTGTTTAATAATTTTTTTTGCAAAAAATGGCAAATGACTAATACTGACAATACGCATCTGTATTTGACAGTTACTGGTTTTTTCATAGCATGCTACTTACTTTAATGCTTATAATGCTAATGAAAATTAATAAAGTCATGTTTAGTTATAAAATTGAGTTTCTCGTGTAATAGGAAACATAATGGAGTAAATAAAAAAAAATTGTTAAGAGAAGATAAGGCTAAATTGTGATATCAATGCGAACTTGGTAATGTAACTGTTGCACTCTACAGAGTGTAACAACTTTTATGAAAATATCACGCTATAATTGATACACCCTGTATTAATAAAAAAGAGGGTTTTATACAAACACAGTTAGCACAACGACATTCTGGAAGAGACAACCTGTCATTTAAAAAAAATCTTCCAGATCAGACTAGTGGTTTTGACAAATATTTACTTTAGGCTTTTTGTTATTTTTTGATGGTGCTTTAATTTATTGTGGAAGTGTATAATTTTTCTGCAAATGCATTGGTATTTATTAATATACGAACAAATAGTAGTCTTGTTGTTTAATAAAATAATGTAATATAGTTACATAGATTGATCATTCATAAGTAAATAATTAATAGCTCGTTCAGATACAGCGAAAACCGCGCGGTTAGGGACCTTGCGGTTAGAACCGGATTCCACTGTGTTTGAACGAGACTTTAGACGACGAAAAGTGGGTTTCTCTGGGCAAGGTTTATCTTTAATACATGCAATGTTTAGGTTTTGTCTCAGTTGTGTATACTCAGTTGTAAAAAAGTAATTTACATTACCAATAATTTAGAAATGAGAACTTTTGTTTCTTTTTAGTTTATATTTTGTAAGACTTTTTAGAGATTTATTGATAATTTTATATACAAAAGGCTTTTAAGGTTAAACTAAGGATGTATATTTGCATTCTTCTTATTATTATTATCAGTTTAATGTATCTTTCTCTTTGTAACTATCATAGTTAAAGTTGATTTTCAGGAAATGACAGCAATGTACCTAAAACAAGCGTCGTAGTTAAACAAATTTGCTTAAACTATCCCAGTTCAAATAAGCAGCCATCTCGCTCTTTTTAATACGGCAGCAGATGCGGTGGTTTTCTTTATTAAAAAATACAGTTATATGGAAACAATAATAAAAGTAACTATTTCCTAAATCAGAACCTCGTAAAATATAAAGAAAAAATAAGAAATAACATTTTTTTGCAAAATTTATGGCATTGTTCTCTAATCTATTTACTACAGTGAAAAACTTGTCCAATATTTTTGTGAATGAGGAACAAATCATTTCATTACATTGTTGCTTAATCATATTAACTATATTTTTACTTATCCCTCTTATTTGCCTGGCATTGTGTATATTTGTAGATATTTCTATGATTATTCATTTACCGACTGTTTCATAAATTGAATTTATGGTTTAAAATTCGTCTTTAATGTCAAAGGTCACTTCATGCCTATCATTAAAACTGCATCGTCGATAGAGCGCAATAACCTTCACCACAAGCAAAAATACCGTGAATGTGGGGGAGAGTCGCCTACTTTAAAAAAAGAAAAATATTTAAAACTTTAATTCATTATGTTGTAGTACCAAAGTAACACAAAATTAATCCCACATATAACTTAATCCCAAATACAAATTTTTATATATATGAGATGACCACATTTGAGGAATTGGATACCCTTTTTTAGTTCATTATTATGTATTTTGAATGCACTGCAATTTTAAGTGGCTAATAATACTTGTGGACGAATAGACTAGTTACAAAGATTCGCCAATAAGAACATAAAAGAACGATCATCGGCTTTGACTATTTGAAGCTAAATTGAATAGTATTATGAGTGACGAATATGAGTCTAATCTGAAACATAATGGATAAAACGATTAATTTAAAAGTTTACCTATTCACGTCGCGCGTCGATGATTCAGAATGGCGAGTTTTTCAATGCAGATTTATTTGATATAATTACGCTATTTCAATTTTTGTTGTCTTATATTTTATTTTTAGCTGTAAAATATTTACTGTTCAATGGGACTAACAATTTTCGTAAAACGTTTAGAATTTTTGCTTTGAGATTTGCAACAAATTTGGAACCACTATTACTCTCATCAGTGGTGTTATAGATTACTATTTATCAAAATATCGATCCGCACTACTCTAAATTATTCTATGAGATAAGCCTTTCCTTTTGCCCTTCTCTTTACGCACCCCATCCACTCATTTTTTGTTCTCCAATCTAAATTTTGTTATTATGGGTATTCCCTGAAAATTTCACAAAAATTGGTCTAAAAGTTAAGGCTCTGAAGTAATTATAAATTTTTAAACTGTTAGGTTTAGGGGAAAGTGCCCTACAGTGGGACATTTTTTTATTTCGTCAATAACTTTTAAAGTTTTCGTGTATAAAAAAAAATAAAAAATACCAATTAAGTAACTCTTGCATAGACAAATAATTCTGGCAATATTTTTTATTAAATCGAATGGGAAATAGGTAATAATAATTTTTTATTTTATTAAAAAATTGTCTCACTGTTAGCCACTCTTGCCCAAGGGTGAGACATGGGGTGTCCAACAATGAGACAATGGTTCTTTGGGTGGGACATAGGAAAAATAACAGTGCAAAATATTTTTTTGTCATTTTATAAGGTACAGAAACAATTAACGAACTTCCAAATTGTCAAAATTAACATGAAATGTTAGGTATGCATGTTGTCGTCTAGTTTGACCAAAATAAATCGGTTTGGGTAAAATGGCACTTATATCACTATTTTGGACAGAAAAAATGTCGGGTACCTGCGGATAAGTAAATTTATTTTGTTGCGCCAGTCTACGGAGGAAACCTATTTCTGTTTCCCCATCACCCCCCTTTATCACTTTACCTACATAGTAAATATTTGAAGATTTTGCCTTAAAACATGCTAATACGTAATCATCTGCTTTTGGCTGTTTTTCTAACTTATTTAGAACTAGATCTTCTCGTTCATCAGATTCGTATTCATCTGAAGTATTTTCCTTATCGGAAAATTCATTACTGGATTCTTCACTAGAATCCTTTAAAGTGTTAGAGTTGTATTTAATTTTTTTTATGTTCTGAGGTGTCTTTTTTGTCTTACAGCTTTGACTAATATTTCGTATAGTTGTTTTTTGCTTTTGCAACTTTTTCTGTCTTTCCAGAAAGTTTTCTTCGATTTCATTTTTCTCTGGGGTGTCAGTGGCTATCATACATTTTCCTTTTTTTTTTGTTTCCTTATCTTTCCTTTGTCGACAGTTTTCTTTGGATATCCTCTAAATATATCGGGAGAGATAAAATTAAGTTTTGGTTGATTTTCCTGATCCACTAATTGTTGTTTCGATGTACTTGGCGTAGATTGGATTTCAAGAGACAAATTTTATTGTGGAGTTGATATCTGACTATTTTGACCAGAAGTTGGTTTTAGAACCTTGTCAGAAATTTCAATCATTTCAGCAGTTGTCTGAATTTCATGAATTTCTACGGTTAGAATCGCATTAGCGGCAGCAGTTTCCTGAATTTGAATAATTTCAGTAGTTGTCTGGATTTCATTAATTTCAATAATTTTAGTCTGGGTTAAATGGTCATTTTCACTGTTGTCTTCAATTAAAGGTTTTTCGGTTACTTGGCTACTTATGAAGTCATCTTCAGTAAAAATGTTTCGATCATATGGCATAATTCCAGTCTTTTTAAAGGCATGCGTTATTGTTGCCAGTGTCATTACTTTTTCATGTGCTTGTCCAACACATGTCGCAACTTCATATATACTAAATGAATGTCCAGTATTGTGAATCATCCAGCTATCCACTTCAGTGTTATAAAACTTCTGAAAAGGCCCAAAAATTCCAACATCTAATGGTTGCAACTTATGCGTCGAATGGGGAGGAAAAGTTAAAAGCGTTACACCGTTTTCTTTTGCCAATTCAATACAATGTATTGATATGTGGCTCTCGTGATTGTCATAAATTAGTATAGAAGAATTTGCTTGTGAGGACCCACTACATTTAATAAAATGTTTCATTACATCAATAAATAAATCGGTGTTCATCCAACCCGTCGTAGCTGCCAAACCTAATGTGCCTCGTGGTGCACCATTGATCATACGACTGTGACAGTTGACTCTGGGAAATACCATTGCAGGTGGTAACCAATTTCCAGCTGCACTTACAATCATGCACGTT